GAACTTAAGACAGACAGAATGTTTAGAAAATTTTTAATCAAAATGATATATATAATGGTAATAGTTTATAGAAAAATAGTGAGTCTGAAAAGTAAAAGCTTAATTAAAGAGTTTATTAATTCACGGTGAATATATTTTCGTCTAATAATAAACTTAAGAATGGATTAAAACGAATACTGGTATTTTTAGAAATGTCTCATTGCTTCACTATTTACTGTGAAAACCGAAAATATGAGCAAGAGGAAGTGTATTAACTGCTGTGACAGTGGAGATTTTCAATGAGTAATATATCGCAGGATTTTATTGATGAATAACAAAGAAAGTATATACTGTGGCAGATAGTATATCTTTATTTGAGTGAGCATATTACTTAAGCGCGTCAGTGGTTTGGCGGTGGGATCTTCTCCAACCTTGTCCATAGTGCTGGGTTCGATCCTCGGTGGACACACTTCAAAGCCTCACTTAGTTTACTGGCTGATGGCAAGCCTAGAAAAGAAGGGGAACTGGGTGTGAGACTAGCAAACACCACCTCGTAAATCAACACCATGGCCACTGAAACTTCAGGACTACGAGCCTAAAGCCCAATGTTCCACTCGGATTTCAAGAAGTGAAAAATGAATAGTACTTAAAGCAGTCAGATAAAAGATTCACTCGTTTTACAGCTTCTAGTAACAAACTGACAGTCATTACTGTAAGTATGGCTCATCTTCATTGTTAGACAAATGGGTGAATTCACAATGGCTAGGCCATAAATGAAGCCAACCTAATCCTTTTTTAGGTGACATAGGATCATATTGGAAAAGAGCTAGTGGTGGTAAACCCTAAACATGGCATAGGTCAGTGAAATCCACAACAGTTAGTTTAAGCCACGTAGGAGGGGAGTGTAGAATTCCTGACTGGAGTCTTCGGGATGGTAAAAACCAATGAAGGCTGGAGACAGTTGGTGATGTGGTTCAAAATTGTTCTCAGATGCATTCACTCTTTGTCATTTATAATATCCAATAAAACTCTATTGTTTTTCCATATTACTATTCTTTCCGCCTCATGCTTCTGTTTGTTATCTCTCTTTACTCTGTTTTCTTGCTTTGTGTGCTGTATGGAGTGCGGTAACTCGAGCTGCTGCACATCTGTGCAACATTCTACGCTGAAACCAGTCAGTCAGTCAGCCATAAACACACAAATTTCGATATACAGGGCGTATTATTAGCTCTCCATGAAACAAATTCATATAGCGTTAAATTTAGAAGTGTAAAACATGTAAGTGATGCATCTCAGAACTTTCTTTACTCACTATATTTAGAAGTCATTAAGAGATTAATAGATAAAGCCTTTTCTGAATTCCAAGCTCTCTCAATCACCTCACATTTTGTCTCCTTTAATTTTTATAAGTCAGAATAAAGGTATACATGGAGTTTGTTAAATGTTTATCACAATAAGGCATCATAATGTGAGTTTGTGTGTGCTCACGCTTAGACTTTAAATCTGTCAGCAAAACTAATAAGTGGAACACTTTAAAATCGTCTTTCATAGTTAACGTATTTCTTTCAATAGCATCAACTTGCTTGATAATTAGTTAAAAGGCTTATTATTATTTTCTGAATAGGCCAATTTTAGCTATATATTTTCCTTATCATTATTGTTGTTTTATCTGTGACATTTTTAGTAGAATCAAAAGCAAGATGAGATGAACACTTGTCGTAACCAAGATAATAACTAGTAGTCTGTTTTTATCGAGTCTTTAAAAAAAAACACGGCCATATTCATATTGCTAAAGTGACGAGATTAAAGTGTTTACTGGTTTGAAGAACATTTCCATAGGTTAAGGCTAAATTTTATTTACCTCAAACCAGTATGTTGTTTCTGTTTTTAAATGAATGAAATTGAATGTTGCTTATAAACCAGTATGTCTGGTTCAGAGATACTACACCAGACTTAATTTTGACAGTAATCAACAGTTTGTTGTTTGTTTTTCCTTAACAGATGTTTCTTTTTCAATATGATTTTTATTCTCTTTTGATTGATGAAAGCTACTGTCACCAAAGTTAGTGTCATTTCAATTTTCAGATTTCCTATCTGTATCCAACATACTGCGTACAAAATTGACTAGTATTTAGACCATCCTTCAAAACACGAAAAACGTAAAGTGGGGTAAAGAACATTGTTGGTTTATTCATTTCAGTGTGTCTAACCAATTCATAAACTAATCACTGTTTGCATTAATATACATATATAAGTTTTCCCCTGATTACTTTCACACTGCCTTAGCTTATCTGAAGTTTTGATTTGACTGCGTAAAAATAGGAAAATGAAATTAACCCTTTATATTTGGTTCATTTATTGAACACTAGGTGAAGTCCCACTGTCTAGATTCTTCAGAATCACTTAATTTCTAACAGTGATCACCAGTCTGAGTGATCTTGTACTGAAGAGTAATATTTTTTTCAAAGAAAACAGCTGGTTTTAGACACAACCAATGGGATTCACGCACAACTTAAGTACACTCAAACCATGACATTATGAAAATTTAGCATAATAACAAATCACCTAAGTCTGAGTGAATTTCTTTGAATTACTGCTTGTCATCAGAACATTTTGAAAGCAATCAGTCCACTGTGAATGAGATTTTTCATGAGAATTAATACTTTGCTGCAGTATTCCGACCTTAAACATGATAAAATGATGGCACTTGAAATTTTTAGGATGACCAAAATAATAGTTTAAAACATTTTTTTCCTATTATAACCTTAGAGAGAGTCATTAAAAGACAAAGTTTACCTGAAAAATGATACGTAAATGTGAAATATATCTCAAACAGTCTGATGACGCAACTTCATCTCCATTCAAGTGATGTGGGACTGAAGTGGAAAATCAGTTGAAATTAACAAAGTAATAAGAGGTTAAGGGGAAGAATGATGATGAATGATAATAATTTTGTTATATACTCAGATTAAAATTACTAGGGTAGTTCAATCGTGAAAATAAATTATTTCTGAAAGATACTTGGGAGTCTTAATTTAACGAATGGCTACTGCTTCAGCATATTTCAGTATACCGCTCCGATGTCTTTTGTATACAGTCTTGAAAGCTATTTTGACATCGTGCTACCATCTCTACCTACCGAGGTTTTGGAGTTTGATTCTTGTTCTAATCATTTAAGTCCACGTTTCCAAATCCTCGCCAGCAAAAGAGCGATTACTCTACTTTATGTATATGTGAGCATTCACATGTGCTGATTGATAAATAATACAGCATCAGATGCAACAATCTGTGGAGTGCTGAAGGATATGACACAACACGTATTTGGGTTTACGATGACATAATTTGTCTTACAGATGATAAATTTTAATCAATTTCTCAAAATCATGGGTAATTTAGTAGAAGCATCCTCCTTTGAACTGTAGTTTTTGAAATTAACTGTCCTGTACAACGGTTCAAAAATTTCATAGGCTGTCTGTTTCTTACAAATGTATTAGTCTACATATTGTTGTCGTCGTTAGCAACTGTGTTAGCTATGCCGTAAATGCTGGATCGTCTTTAATAAACATTTCATCAAGTCTCTCTTATATTCCATCGGGCCGAAATTGTGGAAAATCAAATACGTCACAGTCCAAGTTGACCCTTTTTTAAACTAATCATTTTATTGAGTCATCTTTTCTACTACTCAAAAGTATGTCTGAAAAGAAAGTTGATTACAGCTTTCCTCCCTTATCATTAAAATTAATAGGACGTTTTACAGAATTGAGTTCGGCCTGTAGACATGTCACATCATTTGTGACAGATTACAGTGATGTTACTAGTATGCCTCTTTTAAATGGATACTGACTTTAACAAACAATTCACAACACACATTTTCAACTTATGACATATATGTCAGTCAGTAATGATCCTAAAACCTCTTCATAAAAGCATCATTTACACATCAATGGTGCTTACATACAAAAGGGGAATAAATGCTCTCAGTAAATAGTATTAATAACAATTTTTAGATAGACCGAAAGGATATAGAGGCATGTTATCCCAAAGAATTCGATTCCATGGCACCAATAATATTCATGTTACGGAGTCTTACTGGAAATAAACGTTACTTTTCGTTCTAATTTTCTAATATTATCTGTTGTGACATCCTTAGTGAACTTTCTATCTTCACAAATGATACATAACATCTCACATCGATTTCCTGAGTTCACACCTAACCTTTTATCAGGCCTACCTAAGTCACTGGGCTACCCAATTTCGCATTCATCAAAATATATCTTATTTACTCTATTTTATTTGATATTGATCATCAAGTTACATCTCTGAATCACAATTTGTACTTACGCCTGTATTCCAATGGGATTCAGCCTATCGCTACGGATATTTCAAATAAAACAGTACGAGAAGCATACCTGGTTACTTGAGCGTGCTTTCGATAGAATAGTACTGGGACAAATAATATATTACGGATTAATAATTTACCTCTAGAAACTACACGCCAACTGAGTACTTTGCAACAGAACATTCTGAGGATTCTAAAATATGCATGATAGAATTTTTCAGGATAAAGTTATTATTGTTATGGTTCAAGATTAAATATTTAAGGTTCATCCAGCCTTCAGTCAACTTTGGTAACCAGGAAAATAAAATGATCATAGAAGTATTCAAGCTGATTATCACCGGTTAGGATGGAAAAACTGAATTCAAGAGGAAATACACTAGAATTTGAACAAGTGGCAAATTTATGACGTGCTTCTCTGGATTTACAGGGAATGATTCCAAATGATGGTCACTGGTGAGCAATTTTCAATGATTTTCCTGTCGTAGAAACACAATTACAGTCTTTTAAATAACACTATCCAGACATAAAGAGTTGCTAAATAAAAGAAGATATTCTATGAAAGCTTAATCTTATATTTTCAACGGACATCATGACTGCCCAATAGTCTACATTGTCTCTACAATCTTCATTTTTGCCGACGAAATGAATAAAAACACACGAAAATGGTTGGTAAATAACTCACTTATCAGTGTTGTCACAGTAAATGAATTGAATAGATTGATGTATTCAAACAAATACTTCATTTGTCTTAAATGCGTTCAAAGTACAATATGCTTTCCAGACACTTGTAGGAAGTTGTAAATGAAACATTGTATGCACATGTTGTTGTTTTTTTTTTGTGTGTATTAAGAATTTAATAATCAAAATTAATTATAGATACGAACCAATATTATTTATTTGTAATATGCATATTGACAGTCAGAATAGTTTTCCATTTAACTATTCAGTCAAAGGATAGAATAATATGGGGAATTATAAATACACTGGGAAAGAATTAGTGATAACCAATCAGATAAGTGATAATGCATTTGTCTCATAATCTAAAAAGCACCAATCAGTAGTGTGAATCACACGTGGTTTTTTTAAAGAGATAAATTAATACTATTTCCAAGATTGACAAATGATTTAAGAGAGAGAGAGAAAAGTAACATGGAAGAAACTTTTTGAAATAATTTGTAGTGAAATAGTAGGACAAATAGAACTCCAATTTATTTGTGAGCAGTGTAAAGCATATCACTCTCTGCCAGTTGCGGAAAATCGTCAAATGAATATAAGTGTTAGATGAATGACATTTTTGGAAAACTTAGAAGCAATAATTTGAAGATTTCAAGTCTGATCATGAAATGACTTCAATTTGAAAACCATTAAAAACCGGGAAGTAATGGATACCCATTTATTCATAAGTAAAAACACAGTTTTTGTTCAGCGAAGAATTTTCTTTTCAACGACTTCATTTTCAAGCTGTACAGTCGTATTTATATTACAGAAAAGGTCATTAAGTGGCACTAAATAATTGCTCAGTCAATATACATAAATGTGATAAGAAGAACGATAATTAAAATGTTATAAGGGGTAGAGTTGAAGTGGATAAATTACAAAATTACTAAAGATTGTTTTATAAGTGAATTGAAATCAAAAATGTTTTAAAAATGTCAAGTGTTGTCTAAAAATTTTAAAAAATAAGAGTACGATTACGATAAGAATGAAGATGTGAAGTGAAGTGGAAAGAATTCAAGTGGTAAAATAAAATAAAGTAAAAACTAGAAAGAACATTACTATGACCAAGGTAAAGAAAGGGGTTTGACAAAACGTTTTTGAACACATAATTTAGGTTTCTGTTCATGTATAGCTAAAGCTTTGGCTATGCATAAGTGAAGAAAACGTAAACTTTTGGATCGATTCGATTTTGCCATGTAGATAACTTTGAAAGATGAATCACCTAGGGCTAAATGACCTGACTCTAACAGGTGATCACAGATAGACGACTTCGCAGTTCTACGTTCGCCTTTCACTAACCAGACTGGATAGTGTTCAGCTACACGTTTTCGGAGATTACGCTGACAACGTCCAATATAAACAGCTCCACAAGAGCAGGTAAAAGAGTAAATACACATGGATGTGGACAAAAGCGGTAATCTATCCTTGACGCATTGTCTAATCATATTTCGGCTGGTAAAAACTAGTTGTAAGTCAGCTGCAGGAAAAGTACGTTTAATACATTTAGATAAACGATTTTTAATCAATTCCGAAATGGTGTCACCTTTGAATGCCAGACTCATAAACAGTTGGACAGCTGTTTCACCCTAATTTGGGATTCTTCAATGGATTCTAGAATTGTTTTTAGTACATGGATTCAAACAATAAAAAAGTCAATCATTAGGTTAATATATCACAATATCAAAGCCTCGATAGATTGTTAGTATATACATTACTGCTAGAAGAGTCCATGGAGAGCGAGGAGAGAGGCATATTTTGGATCGATGAAAAAACACCGGAACATCCGAGCTTCAAGGCTTATGTATGTCTAATGTCACAAAAACTCGAAGATCTACAAGCCGATACCAGCAAGTTGCCAGAAGAAGCGAAGACATACCTTTAAGTGAAGATGAAAAAGCAAAAGTGATGAAAGTGCCCAGTCTACAACAACAGCAACAAGAGTCAATCAACATCAACGGGAAACATCTGAAGGAAGTCACCTCTTTCACTTATCTGGGCAGCGTCATTTCAACTACAGTAAGTAAGCACTGATGAAGATGTCAAATTCAGTGTCGGAAGGGTAAGATAAGCTTTCAGTTCTTTTGAATCAGTGTGGTAAACTACTGCACTCAGCATGAGGAACAATCTTGGAATTTTCAACACTAATATCAAGATATTGCTTCTACGTATTTCAAGGATTACGATCATGTGTCATAAAAAGCAACTCCGGCAGGCTACTTTAAACTTTCGTCAACAGTTGCCTTCACTAGCCTTAAATTAAGTATCACATGGCAGACCAGAAATGGAGAGTAGCAAGGGTCTCTGATAACAGACCAACCACGAACCTATTGTTCAGCAAATATGCAGAAGGAAAGAAAGACGAACTCAACATACACTGAGCAGACTGTTGAATGATATTACACGCCAGAAGCTTGGATGGAAACTAATTGGGAAAAGTAGAGTTGGGAACGTGTCCGATTTCGACATATAGGGGATTAGAAACACTTATTTCCTGATACGAATTTAAAACAAGCAATAAAGGTTAATAAAGCAGGATTTAATGAATTCATCAAATTTCGGTAGAATTCGTTCAGCTGAATACTCTACATACACGGCTATATATACTTTTGAAATTACATTGGGAGATATAGGACTGATAAGTAAACAAACTACATTGAATTAGTCATGCAGAAAGACAGGTGTGAATGTTTTTCCAGGTTATGTTCAATTAAATAAGGGGAGAGAGAGTATGGGAGATCAAAATTAAGATAAATTGCATCACGCTTCAATTACATCACTTAGACAAACAATTAGACATTAGAGAATTTAACAAGAATTGCAACCAGAGAGATGTCAATAGTAATAGTTATAATAACAATAATAATAATAGTGTTGAAGTGAGTTAAGATAATGCTACTGATAAAGGATAGTTTTAAATGAATCAAGAATAATAATAATGAGAATAATAATAGTAATAATAAAAATAATAATAAGAGGAAGAATTATAAGTAAAACTTATTACCATGGTAGATTCAGAGTCACGACCATCTCCTTTTGTACACAGAGACCTGGTTTGTAAACTCAAATTTCACATGCCTCTGCAATTGCAAGCATCTTCTTGTTTCTTTGTCTGCTGACAATAGTGAATGACTTGACCGCGTCGATATCATGTCCGTAATCCACAAGATGCTTTGTTATTGAGGATTTTGGCACTTTGCACTCAGCTGTTTTCAACCATTTTGGTAAATGCTCCATCATGCGAGTAGAGAATCTCCTTTCCGTACGACCTATGTATTTGCTTCCACAAACACACTCAAATTGATATACACAGTTTGAAGTGTCCGGGATTGGCGACTGGTTTTTCCCAGATTGTTGAAGCACTCGCTTAGTGGTGTTAAGGAAAACAAGTTTTGCAGCATAATAAGTTCTCTTGATGGTTTTGTCGAGTCTTCGTTTGACTACTTCCTGTACATCATCTCCCTTGAACGGCAAGCTGATATAGACAGGTTTCTTCGGAACTGTTTGGATTGTTTTGCAGGGACTGTTTTCTTTAGAGTGTTTATTAATGAACTTCTCAGGATATCCATTCTTAGATAAGATATCCTTCAGGGATTTTATTTCATCCTCAACAGTACTGTCAGAACAAATTTTTGGTTCTCTATTGAACAGTGTTCTGACTAAGTTCTTTTTATACTGGACTGGAACAAAACTCTTGAAATGCATGTACTGTCCTGTCCATGAAGACTTTCTAAATATAGATCTTTCGATTGTGCCATCATTCATTTTCGCCAGAAAAACGTCTGGGAATTTAATAGTATCGTTTTCCTCGTGTTCTATTGTGAAATTGAGATTTGGATGGCATGAGTTGAATTTTATCAGCATGTCTTCGGCCTTTGATCTGCTTCCACAGGCAATAAAAACAGGGGATTGAGTGAGGAAACGAAAGATTGTGAGCAGTCGTGAAGACAGTACGAAATGGTAATTTGCTTTTAGAGCATGGTTCCACTCAAAACTCAAGAGAATAATAGTAATAACTGCTGACTTAAATGAGCAGTTTCCAAATGCTCATGTCAGTCAGTAGTTTGTACTATCATGTCGATCACTTGCTCTCTTGATTGCTAATTCTAGTATCAAGCAGACCATATACTGTGATCGGAATACTTTTTTTAATTTCCAGAATAAACTATGGTGAACTATCGACTTGACCTATGCAATTTACAAATGACAAATTTGAGGCCAAGACTGATTGGTAGTAAAGTCTTTTAACACATAGTTGACCTACATATCTCTGAATTTTCTACGAAACCTAATCTTTCTCAGTACTGCAAAAGCACACTGCCGAGAGTTGTCAATGAATAATGTCATAGTTTTAAAAGTAAATATTTTTATTTAGGTTCAGTGTGAAATCAATTAGTTAACTCTTTATCTTACCATGGTTAGTCATTTAGAAAAAATTTGGGAATTTTTCTCTTAATTAGCATCTTGAAACTAAGGGTGAACAAAATCTATTTAGCTTGATATCCTTCTAAATAGACAACTTTTGTCTTTGAATCAAGTCATTACTTAACATGTTTCCTTCTTATTCTTACAGTTTCCACCTAATCCTTACACTTAGGTGTTTTTATCTCTTCCTCTTGTGATATGCACGTAAGCGTTGTCTTAACGTGTTTTTTAGATTTCTTTGAACTAAATAACCACGTGTTATTTTTTGTTTTATGCTGCTCATATATTGATTTCACTTCATATGCGTGGCCTGTTTTTTAATATTTGTCATGGAAGTTCCATACTACATCACTCAGACGACTGCTGTCACGTTTGCATGACTGGTTCATATATCGTCTGATACAAGTCAATTTCTGAGTTTCCAACGGAAGCAGTTGGTGTTAATATAATCTGATTTCCTATATTATCTGACAATTCATTTTAAAAATGTACGAATTCGAATTATCTTCAAAACAGAGTTAAGTAAACGATCAATTTTATTTTCATTTTTCACTTCTTTGTGCTGTTAACTTTAGGCAGCTGTTTTTGATGAAGGCGGCACTTACTGTCTTGACCCTGACTAATTTATGAATCGGAATTATCAGCTAATGATAAGTAGAACACAGACGTTAATCATTCTAGATGTTACATTCGACAGTTGAATTATTACAGACATACTTAATGTCTGTGTTGATTTTGTTGATGAAGTTCCTTGGGTAGTTGTTTTGCTTGAGAGTTTCAGTAATGTTTGAAATTTCTTCTTCTTTTTCTTTCTCATCCGTTAACATCAGAGAGTGTGCTCGTCTAAGAAGACTTGAAACAACTGAAGTCTTTGCGCTGATGGGATGTGATGATTTGAAGTCTAAATATTTATTGGAGTGGGTTTTCTTCCTGAATATGGATATACTAAAATGTCCGTTTTCCCTTCTCTTAACTAGGCAGTCTAGAAATGGTAGTTTACCGACGTCTGATTCTGCTTCCGAAGTAAACTGGATTCTGGGAGATACACATTTTATTTTCTCCAGGAATGAACTGCGTAGATCTCGTTTTAGCACTACAAAAGTATCATCTACATATCTTAACCATATTTTAAGAGTGAGTATGCTTGAAAAGATGTTATTTTCGAATGTATTCATGAAAAGGTCAGCGACTATTGGGGAGACTGGTGAACCCATAGCAAAACCATTTGTCTGTCTATATAAACTCCCTTTAAATGTAAAATAATTACTTTCTAGATAGAATTTCAAGCTCTTAATTATTCCACTGGTGTCCAGTGAACATCTTTGTGATAGTGTTGTATCTGATTCTAGTAGACTGGAAATGATATCAAGACTTTCGGTATATAATGAGTTAATTTCATAGTTTGCTATAATGTCATCTTTATGAATTTCTCGGTGTTCTATTTGGGATTTGAAATCATATGGATTTCTTACAATATTTTGAGTGTCCTTTTGTAGTGGTTGTAGTACCGAGAGTAAATATTTAGAAAGGTTGTATGTCAGTGAGTTGGTTAAATCTATTACTGGTCCTAATGGAACTGTGGGTTTATGTATCTTTGATTGACCGTAGAATTTTGAAGGTACATAAGATTTTGGTTTTAGTTTAAACCAGAGGGAATTTCTAATTTTGGGTTTCATTTCTTGAAGGAGTCTGTTTGTACTTAGTTTCATTTTGTTGAATTTGGCAGATTTCTTCTTCTCTTCAATGAGTAAGTATGGTCCTCCTTCTTTTCATAATCCGTTCTGTTCATTATCACAGTCATTGTTAGCATTAAATAGCGAAACGTCAGTAAAAACAATAGCGTTTTGCTTTTCATTCATTGGGAAATACAAAAACCTTTATTTTAATGAATAATATGAATATATTGAAAAAAGTGAACTGAAGTTACAACAGGTCAAATATGCTCAAGAAACGAACTTGTCATGCAGTAAATCTC